TCACTGCTGCTTTTCCAAAGACATGAGAAAACACAACAGCGTTCACATGCCACAGTCAAGGACACATTCTTCTAAGGCTTTTCTTTGCTTGGAAGAAGAAAAATTTGCAGGATTCAGCTGTGCTGAGTCCTTTCCCACACAGGCAAAAACTCCTCTTGTCAGTGCAGGTGCCTGATGCCACCTACAGCAGGTGCCAACATTATTTACATCAATCAGTGCAATGAACTACTCGGTGGTGTGAGAATTTAGGAATGACTCACAAAAGGACACCTAAACCTGACCTATGCAATAGAATGACCAAACTAGTATTTTACACCTTATATTGTGCATTCAGAACGGGGGTGCTTTTTTCAGCAATTCCAAACGATCCAAAAAGGATCTGCAGCAACTCTGCATGCTGAACACTGCTGAAAATCTGCACCTAGAAACTGAAGGTAACGTGAGCCATAGTTTCAGTTCGCAGGGCAGAACAGGACTTAGAACTAAATTAAGCAATTTTATTTTGTTTTTGACAAGATAAAATAAAACAGAATAAAAATGCTGTGAAAATTTGACTGGATCAATTTCTAAAAAGTAAACTATAATTTCATCGGGGAGAGGATAACAGTAAACCTGTTAGTGACAGGCACTTAGTGTATTGTGTTCGCAGCAGGAAATAAGTAATTCAATACACAGCAAATAGAATAAGGGAATGCAGATACCTCTGGGTGATTTATCAGGCAAGTTACAGATCATCTTATCAGGAAGAAAAGCACATAGATTATTTCTACTATATGCATACTCGATTATTTATGTATATTACCTATTAATGCATTTTTCTGGTATATCAGGGAAGATTAATTTTTCCAACTATTTTTCTTCTAAACTCTACTTGCTCGTGATGATTTTCTGTATGCAAAAATGATTAATATTCATTCAATGGAAATGCTTATTTGAATAAAAAGAATGGAGAGATCCTTGAGAGAAAAACTGAGCAAACTGAGGACAATGCAAAGGATGGAGTGTTTCAGGATTTAACGTTCCAACAGCCTAATGGTTGCCAAAGGTTTTGGAGACATTTCTCCTGCCCTAGAGCTGACAGCCCTAGTCTTCTCATTGTTGCCACCCTATTCTTCTTGCCTGTCTATATGCATCTGGTTTGCCTCATCTTGTGTTTAAATCATAATCTCTTTGTGGCAGCAGATTGTGGCTTTATTCTGCCTGCACAGTGCCTAGTGCAATGGAATTGTGGCCCATGAGCTCGAAAGCCCCAAAGTAATGCAAACAAGGGATGACATTGGTATTAATCCAATACACAATGCTTATCTTTCACAAAGCATAAACTTGACTTTCTCCTGCATGCTCACAAAAGATAGTATGAAAAAGGGGGAGGGAAAGAACTGGCCACAGCTTGAAGCTGAGCAGAACTTTGGGCAGTAGAGATAAAGCAGGTGATCTCCCTGCCCTCCTCCATCCCACCTTCTCCACTGTCCCAGCTCTGTTTCAGTTTTACCTGTATTGTGTGAATAACGCTCAGGGAGAACTTTCTGACTCAACCCACTTATTTAACCATGTGCAGCACTTTGCTTCTTATAAATTCATGTGGCTTCCTTGGACAGCCTCAATAAGCAGACCTGCATTTCAGAAAACCGCTTCATCTTTCTCTAATGTTTGGAATGTGATATATTTTTCATTACTGAGACAATGGAGCTATGTACGTGAGCAGAGAGCTTTCAAGGATAAATGATTTGCTGTTATAAGGTCACAGCTACATGTCCTGACAGGCATTGCTAACTCTTTAAAAACAATAAAAAACCCCAAACCCTTATATATCTTAGCCTTGGTATCATAAGCCTCAAAGGGATCAGAAATTGGGGTGAGAGGGTCACCCCACTACTGAATGGGAATAGGCAGAAGCTCCATTTATCATGAAAGTACTATTTGTGTTATTACAGCAGGGATGGCAGAGATATGTGCAGGCTCTGTCCCTGCCAGCCAGGGTCAGATGAAAAGCTCAGATCTCCCCTTATAGCTGGGGAGATAATCAAGACATCTTTGGCCAAGTCACAAGTTCAGTACACGCAGACCTCGTTCTTTGGGGAGAGATTTTAGCTGTCCTTCCTTCACAGAATCATCTCATGTAACCAAATGCTTTAAGCTGATATTGATTTTTCTCTTCTCATCCTCTTATTGATTGCCTAGAGGAGCACACACTCACTATGGAAAGGAGGTATAATTCTCATTTTACAGACTGAAAACAAAGGCAGAGAAAAGGTCAGTGGTAACTAAGGTAAGAAGAGTCTGTCTTTCCACAAATCTAACACTCAGAGCAGGCTGGGATCTTCCAACCAAATCAGTTCACCAACTCAGCCTGAGAGCATGTCCGAGTGATTCCAAAAATGAGGTTGATAAGTGTCCAAACTTAGCAGCAGAAACAGTGAAATGATAAACACTCTGAACTGCACCAACAGGGGCCATATGTTCCCCTGCCTCAAACACACCATCTCACAGAGTGGGTTATGACAAAGAATGCTGCCTGTGAAATGTGCACTTAACATTATACTGCACAGTGTACAGAGTAGCATGGGGAAAGAAATTACATTTGACAAGAAAGGTGAGATATTGCTGTACTGTCAAATTAACACTATTTCATACTTTCTGTTGGTCTGCTTTCTCTAACTAATGGGGGGACCTTGAGTATTCTAGTGCATGCAGGATCAGTGATGCAAACAAATTGTTTTAATAAAAATAGAACATGTTTTTCTACAAAAAAATTCAGGGTTTAACTCCTGAAGTGCCTGGGTAACCCTGGATTTTGGCACTATTCCTAAGAGAAGTCTGATCAGGAAAGAAATTGGAAGAGCTCGTGGGTAAAGGAAATAGTTTAGTTTACTACAAACAGAAACAGTGCATTGTTTCTGCTCTCTTCTTTCCAATACATAATCAGAGTCACTCACAACATTAAACAGAGAGCAATAATTACGTTATCCAGTTGTCCTTCCCTGGGGTAACTAGTTAATAATGTGCTCATTGTCATCCAACAGAGAATGAGGCTTCTTGTTTCTTTACAGCTACCATCTTCTTTATCCAAGAGATTTATCATTATTAATTGTCATCTGATTGCATTTCTGCTCTTACAAAGCCACATGTGTTTTATCTTCTGACAGACATGAGGGAGCTTCTCCAAAGTATCATGTAGAATAGCAGGCTTTTAGATCTTCATGGTTTGATTCTCTTTCATTTGAAGCATAATCTCAGACCTCATAGTACAAAGATGTGTCACAGATTTTCCTGGCTCTCTTTTTAAGACAAGCCAAACTGGAAACATTTATAGGACTGTGACTCATGTTTTCCTTTTATAATATATTTTTCTACTTTTTGGGCATTCTGCACTAGCGTGAGACTGTCAGGATCCTTGCTAATGGCTGTGTGGTTTAGTCCCTGTGGCTTGCTTCCCACAATGGAGAAAGAAGACCTACTATTAAGCATTTTACCACCATGGGCTCTTCGTCACACAACCCACATCTCTGTTTGGTCATCTTTTATAACTTGCAACTCCATTTCTCCTGGGTTACTCCTGCAATATCACAACCTCTTTCTTTGGAAGCCTGCAGAAATGTCCCTCCAAAACATAACCAAATAGATGTCAAAGTGTATTCATAAAAGGCTTCTCCTCACTCTAGGAAATTATCAGGCATGATCTTGAAGCTCTTGGCTTCTGTTCTGTCGTGTGCTTAAGCAGAATATCTAGCAAGTTGCACAAATAAATCTAAAGTCAGTGTCTAAAAAAATTGACTAAATGCCAACAGGAAGAACAAGAGCTTGGGGCCTTCCTGATGATCTCACCCTGGGAACAAAAGCCCAGGCTTCAGGGGATCTCTGACAACTGATACGTAAGGGTTTAAAGTCAGAAAATGTGAAGCAACATTACATTACCTGGAATAACAGTTTACAAGAGTGGTCTGATAGATTCTTGTAGCCATTACTTAGAGTGAAGCAAAGGAAGAGTTAATAATAGTAATAGCCATGAAGTTCTGTGGGAATATTTTTCTTGGCAAAGCCTGTAGAAGCAGTTATTTTCCTTATCTGTAAATACTTTTTCAGACTATCAAATGAGAAAGTCACTGGTTAGGGGTTGGGAGGGGATTCAATGACTCAGCAGAAGACTATGTTTGTTCTGCCACAAAGGCCTTTCATTCTGAACTGTCTGAGCGCCAGCTTTGCAAACTGGACAATTACTTCTTTCTAGATCACAAAAAACCTTAAGTTAATTACATAGGAAACTAGTAGTATGAAATCAATTTACATGTAATAATAATTTGCTGCTTACCATCCCTAAATAATTCAGATGTTATAAGATTAAAAGCTTCTTTTACGCCTTGACCGTAAAAATAGATTACTGAGTTTAAACTGTCTTTTAAGGCAATAATCAAGCTTTGCCCCTAACTCTTGTGTCCATCAAAATACTTAACATCCAGTGCCTTCTTACTATGATCCCATTTATGTTATGGCCAGCTGGCCAGAATGATCCCACAAATCCATAGAAAAAAGCACAGGGGTGCCTGGGGGGTGGAACCACAATCTTAACTGACCTCAACACTTTAGTTCTTAAAAGGTGTGAGATGAACTGAAAGGAAATGGAAATCGAGGATAGATCAAAAGGAGACATCTTTAGCCCGTCACCAGCCTTTGACTACAGAAGAATGAGAATTTCCAAGTATTGCCATATTTCCTCCAAAAGACAGGCCTTGAGTGCTGCTAAGCCTTTAGTCATCCAAGGAATGCCTGTGCCTTTGGAGGGGCAGGAAAAAGGTAGCAAAGGATAAAGGGAATCAGTTCAGAAATAGGCTGGAATGCAGGGATTCCATAAGCCCAGTGTTTAGGCTTCACTCAATTTTCACGAAGTCAGAAACATTCTTCTGCTTCCAGCATCCCTAGTGAGAGAGATCACAACTGCTCCTCATCAAAAGAAATTACTTACCAGCAGGTTTTTGGGGTTATGAGTCTGATAACACTCTTACCTAAGGTCTCCCTGAAAGATGCTTTCCATCCCCTGTCTGCTCCATAGAAGTCAGTGCTAAACACGAGGAATAAATTGTTACTGGAGCTCTTAATATTCGGAGGTAGTTCTGAGCCACAGAATTTCCCAAGGAGAGGAGCATGGGTATCCAAGCCATCATATACTGCTACATAATCTTTGTAGCAGGAGGGAGATATTTCAAGCTCAAAGCTGTTGAATCTGTAAAACACAGTTGGAGCTTTAGGTATCACAATGTCATTTCTTTTCTTGTGTTTTATGCATTTTTAGTGCTTGAGGACAGATCCAAGTACTAGCAACAGCCAAAGCCATACATAGACAAAACATGTCTCTTCAGAAACAAACCAAGCAGAACTATTAACTGTATGGCAAAACAAACACTCCAGACAACCAGCCTCAAAGAAAGTGGGACCCTCACCCACTGGGCCTCTTGCAAGGCAAGCTGTCAGCACACCTCAGCTTTTTGTGAAGCAGCAGGTCTCCCTTGTGCAAACACACCCTCTCTCACTTCTGCAAATTGCTCAGGCTGCATTTTTCTTGGGCACGTGAGGAGCATATAAAATGCAGGCACAGAGTGCAGACCAGCTGGATCTTCCATGGAGCTGGAAAATGTTCTCTTAATTCACAGTCAGCATATATATGACAGAAGAATGTATCATTTTTTAATTTCTCATTGGCAAGATTTTGTGGCAACCATATCCCTCTCTTAGGCAAAACACTCAGAAATACACTCTTTTTGGGTGGGTGTTACTGCTTTGGCTATAAAGTACCAGCCTTTTAAAAGAATCATTATTTTTCTTACATAAACTCGCAAGAGTCTCATAACTCCTCAAAGGCTGACAGAATTTAACTAAAATGGGCTGCATTTCTACAATTTATTAGTCTTCTTGGTAACCAAAGTGGGAACTTAAAATTGTGGTGATGTTTTGCACATAAGTTACAGAGAAAGTTGTAAGGGAGCCTCAGGTTGATAAAAGTGACTTCAGTAGCCATTTCTCATTTTAGTTCAGCTTTCCCTTTGGAAAAGGAAAGACAGAGGGAAAAAAAAGTCACTAATTGCTGTCTTTAATTGGAATCAGAGACCTCCCTGTCCCCTTGATAACAAACTGGACTTGGATTACATACTTGAGGGCCACTACTTTGCCATTTCCGACTGTGATGTAGTATGAGCAGTTCATGTTGTTGTGATAATCAAAAACTGAATGGGCTGGGCTGCTGATAACACCAACAGAACTATTAAAAATGCCACCACAAGCTGTAGAGAAAACAGAAAGAAGAGTTATTAGTGTCTGAATATTAGCTTGGTCCTAATTCTCATATTTCTTGAAGGAATTTACCCATAAGGAAAGAAAAAACCCATGATAAATTAGGAGCGGTCACCACTGTTATGCCTAGAATTGTTAAATGTGGAGATGTCTATCAGGTTGTGCTCTGCAGTGGAAGACTAGTCAACATCCAAGTAACAGACTGTTACTAGTCCATACCAAATGGTGATGGCTCTGTGTCTGTGCAGTAAAAGACTGAGCCTGAGTGTCCTGCAGTAGGACCAGGGAGCAGTGAGATGGGGCAGGTGCCCCATGCAGCACCATGAGTGAGAAGTGTCTGAAGTAGCTCTGCATCTGTTCTAGCTTGCCAAGAGAATCCTGACTGATATGTGGGCAAAGACATTGTTTCATCCAGACCCTGGCCCTGTGCAAGCTGCTAAGGAGCCACAATTGCACTCAGAGCCCTGTCTCTGACTTTGGAATAACCGCATGCAGAGCCTCATCATCTGTCAACATCTTGGCAGGGCTGGGGCATTACTGTAACATTTGTTCTGCACAGAAAGGCATAGAGGAGCCCTCAGGTATCACTAACCCTATTCTCCACCTCACCTTGTGCTGGAACTTGCCAACAGTGAGGGATGGCTGAGTTGGAGGACTTCATACTTGCTCTCTGGCTGAGAAGCATGTTAAACTCTGCAGTTGGAAATTCAAGGCACAGCTTGGCTTGTCAGAGTTTGACACCATGGATGCTGATGAGGCCAGGATGTGGTTAATATTTGTTCCCAGCCTCAGTGCTTCAGGGAACAAATACTCTTATAAAACCAACTCTAATCTCCATTGTTAGCTTCAGCCTTTATTTTATAATCTTAACCTTAACAAAAAAAACAAAAACCCAACAAAAAACCCCAAACAGCTTCCCTGCATCCGGTTGATAAATAGCTCAAAGCCACACACAGCTTTTCATGTTTTAAAAAAGATGCCATTGCCCAAGCCACCACCTTAAGAAAGGCAGTCTCATACAGGGTGCTGCTGGATGCAGAGCCCCTGGCTCCTCAGACTGGCAGCCTGGAGCACTGGCAGATAAAGGACAGGAGTTAGGAGGATAAAGAATCACCATTATTCTACACTAGGAGGGGGAGATCCTTTTCCTTTATTTTTTTCCAGCAAACAATACAGCTAGAGGGAAGAGGAATGTTAATTGCCAGAATCTGCTTTGTATACAACAACAAGCTAATAAGGCTGCAGTCATCTTTCTCAAATGTCAGAAGTCACAAGTTAGATAGCAGCAACTGACTTGAGTGAGTTATGAAGGTCTTTTCCATGAGTAACTGCACATTGTCCTTGCTCAGTGCCATTCCCTCTGTCTTATCTGTATTGGGCCATTCATTTCATATAAAGAATTTAGCCTTATGCATTTTTGTAGTGGCTTTGAACATGCGGAATGCATTAAGGGAAATACCAAAGTTACAAACTCACACTTTTAGATAATGATGCTTTCAAAACTAAAGTAGTCTCTACAAGTTAAAACTAGAAAATATTAAAATTGGTTTCGAAAATAAAATTAATCTTTTTATTTGTGCAGATGTAAATTCCACACTCAGTTAGAAACTTCTTTTTTTGAATTCACATTTCCTCGTTAAGACATAAGCGATCTCATGTGAATGGCAAAAAATGTTTTGGTGAAAATAATTATTAAAAATTAAAAATATACTTATACCCTGTTTTTTATTTACACTAATACATGGCACTTCAAGAGGGTTGTAAAATGGAGGCATATACCTGTGTCCATTTAAAGATCCTGTTCTGCTTCCCATGTTGTATAACATAGTTTTAGTACAACTGAGATTCAAAACATTCTCCTGTATATGATAAAATCCTTTAAATGAACACAATTGAGTAAACTGGAGATATTTCTCCTTAAATAATGTTTTTAAAAAAACAAGCCAAAAAACAACCAAACAAAAAGCTCTGCCAAAAATGGTTGCATTTCTTTTCCACAGCAAAGGAAAAGTGTTTCAGTTCCTGACTTGGTCCTATGTAGAGTCTTGAAATGAGAATTGTGAGGTAACACATCAGTCAGTGCAGCACACACCAAACGGTCCCATGTCCTAGTCCTGAGAGCTGTTTTGGGTAAGGACAGAGGGTAAATGAACCATATACATCCAAGGCATTCCCAAAACGAGGTACAACATTTCCTACATGGAGCCATTATCCAGCTGGAATATTTCTACCATCTAAAACACAGGACAGCATATACTCACCAATTGTTCTGTATGTTGCCTGGAATCCAAAGCCTACAATGTGGGAGTCAGTGTAGAAGTTGAGCAGCACAGGTCCAAAGACACTGACTGGGGCAGGGAGCTCATTACCACAGAGCGTGATGAGAGGACGTGCCGTAATGCTCATCCCACTGAAGATGCTCAGTCCATCATAAAGACACATTCTGCTCAGGAGTGCTGGGGCTGCGTGGACATGTAATGCAGAGGATTAGCAGTGTATCTTACATGTGATTTACTGAGCTGCAAGTATTTAGCCCTTAAACAGGATAAGAATAAATTTATGTATTACTTTCCATTCCAGGAATCTCAGGACCTCATTTGCTTGTTGAGGAAACAAATGTCAATTTTTAACATGCGGCAAAACTGAGGCAGAAAAAGGCAAAGAGACCTTGTATATAAGAAATCAGACTTGTCTCATTCAACACATCCTATGATCTGAAAAATGCTCCAGGCCCTTTGAGTTTGTGAGAGTTCGTAGCTGAGTGAATGCCATCTATGAGGAGACCTGAGGACCCAACAAAAGCATGGATCTCCTCTGCAGACAAAAGCAATGCACCTGTTTTTTTACAGGCAACCAACTACCTGGTATTTCTTACCCCTAATGCAGAACTCAGCACTCAGTGTAGG